GGGGGAGAGAGAGAGAGAGAGAGAGAGAGAGAGAGAGAGAGAGAGAGAGAGAGAGAGAGAGAGAGAGAGAGAGACAGTCAAAATGTTGTGGATTCTCAATGAAGTTGGCCTGTGCACACACAAATGCCTCTCTATTGGAAAAACTTCGAAAAAGTACCCTGAGCTGTGCGAGCAATAACTTCTCATGAGCAAGCATATGCCCACTGTCCTCTTACCATGCCTGTGTTTTGTGCGTAATACGACAGTGGCAAAATAAACCCTCGGCAGCTTTAATTGATATGGCCGAAGTTGCTTAACAGTTTTTCAAACACTCACCCACAGAAATGAGACCAAGACTCAACATGAGACGCACAACCAGTGACTTCTCATCCACACCCCCGCTTTCACACTTGTTGATTCCTACTATCCATACCAAATGTGGTGCTATGCTACCCCCTTCCCAATCTACTGCGTACAATACCCTGTCCCCTTCTTCATTGTACCCTATCTATCCTGGATTACAGTCCAATCTACCCCCTCCTTCTGGCAAACCTGTCCACTACTATCATCATGAGCATTGCGTTTGCAAGTCAACAAGGGTGACAACCGCAAGCGCACCAGCTGTCACAAGGCCGTGAATGGCCGCATAACATAGGCAGCCATGTCCCGTACCCACTTATCCCAGACGTGCTTATCGCCATGTACCTAAAAGAACAACCCTGTGATGATGCTACCCAACGCGAAGCATATGATGCTACCCAACGCGAAGCATATGATGCTACCCAACGCGAAGCATACCAAGAATAGAATCAAACAATTCACCATCATGTTCATTTCGTGCACTGTCGCCACCAGTCCAGGTAGTTTACAGGTTCCAATGGCGAGTGATACTTAATGGTCCAGAGACATGGCCTCCCATCCACACTTGAGGCACATTGCATCTGCTGCTGCTTGGTCTGACTTCTGAAGCAAAACTCACATCGGGACTTTTTCGACTGAATTCTGCAAGTGATTGCGGTCAGATGCATCAAAGTTTGGCCGTAATTGCAGGCAAATACATAATGAGGAAAGTACTCGTGTGAGTATGTCCTGAACCACCTACCTTCTCTGAGCAATCTGACCTCCATGCAAAAGCGCAAAGGTAGTTCATGAAGGGTGTATACTCGCACTCGCGTGACTAAGTTCAGACGTATTGGAGATAGCTTTTACCATCCATCCTCTTCAGAAGTGGGCATCCTCGGACAGCACACCACCCCACCTCTCTGGTCCACATGATGACCTGTGCACGCATCCATTTAGACCAGACCACTTCTGGTCCACGTTCTTCCATTTGAACCAGCCTCTCTGGACCACACGATGACCCACACATTCATCCGTTTTGGCCGACCTCTCCTGGCCCATATTAAGGCCCACATGCATGTGGTCAAAGTTCAAACCAACCTCTCTGATGCATGTGATATGATGACCTGTCCGTGTGTCCATTTGGACCAACTGCTTCTCGTGCACATTTATAGTCCACATGCATCCATTTGAACCAACCTCTTCCCCTGGTCCACATAAGGATCTGTGCAGGCATTGGTCTGAAGACTCCGTACCATCCCCTCTTGGGTCTTGCGCCATATGCAATCGTAGGCACCCAATGGTCAGGCATTAGTGTGGACCACCACACAGACTGTCTGCTGTCTGGTCCGCAAAATGTCCTCCGGATGCATCGGCTTGGACGATTTACCTTTGCCTTCCTCATTTCTCTTCTGGCCCACATTTAGTCCACATGGATTCGTTTGAAGTTTGAACCAACCTCCTCTGGTCCAAATTTAGTCCACATGCATTTGCTTCGAACCAACCTCTTCTGGTCCAAATTTACTCCACATGCATTTGCCTTGCTTCGACCAACCTCTTGTGGTCCACATTTAGCCCACATGCATTCTCGCTTTGACCAACCTCTTCTGGTCCACATTTAGTCCACATGCATTTGCTTTGCTTCGACCAACCTCTTCTGGTCCACATTTAGTCCACACTCAGGTTCGACTTCCACCTGGATCTGAGCACCTGCCCAAACCCAAAGTCGTGACTCAAATTCATGCTACCCGGTTTGTGCTGTGCAGCATCAGAATTCGTCAGCGACAGAGTGACACTGAGTTCCTTAAATCGCACACTGCCTCCCTGGTGCATCTGAGGGCATGCATACTCACACTACCTCCGAACGTGATTGCAGCCAGATGCGTTCAGCCGTAGACGAAATTGCCGTCAGCGATAGAGTGATACTGAGTTCCTTAAATCGCACACTGCCTCCCTGGTGCATCTGAGGGCATGCATACTCACACTACCTCCGGACGTGATTGCAGTCAGATGCGTTCAGCCGTAGACGAAATTGCAGTCAGATGCGTTCAGCCGTAGACGAAATTGCAGTCAGATGCATTTCGAAAAGTGTTAGTGTGAGTATATGCCCCCACTCTTTGTTGTGCATGCATTATGAGTTTGCGAGTGTCCTTCGACCACATACATGGCCTCTCTGGTCCATCCGATCCAAGGCTCTCTGTGCATGCAGGAGGGGGACACAATTTTTGGCAGCTCATGTCAACGGGACGCCTAGATAAGGGCTCTGATCAAAAACTGCGTTCAAGAGGAGGGGTCGGGGCGGCATTTGGATCAAAATATATACCACACCTTCCGCATGCGACAAAAATCGATTCCACACACATGAGATGATGAGACTATCAGACAAAATTTGGCAACCTCTCTTGGCGGATGAAGCAGAGCGCGCAGACAAGGGTAAAAAAAAAGGAGGGCTGAAGATGGGTAAAAAAAGACCGCTACTACTGCTGAAGCTCGGTGAGGGATCGAGCCACCTCTGTCCGCATCATTTCCACCGGTGCATGCTCCAATGTGTACCGTTCCGGCCCCGAATACAACCCTGTCTTCTCGATCAAATCCAATGCGCTGGCTCGCCCATGCCTTGCTGAGTAAAGCTCAAGGTACTCATAGTCCTGCATGAGCATTTCAACCAAACACAATTTTTTTTTTGAAAAAATGTGATGTGAGACAGAAAAAGGGAAACACAAAAAAAAAGTGATGTGAGACAGAAAAAGGGACACATCCTTTCCAACCCCACCATGAGTCCTCTGCATGAGAGTAAAGCTCAAAGTGACCGTAGTGTTATTACCCTGGCCAATTTCGAGATACACATCCACTGGAAAGTACAATGCCATCCAATTGCAGAAAGAAATGAATGAACTTGAGAGGAGAGGGAGAAGTAGAAGAAGAAGAAGAAGAAGTAAGAAAGAAGAAGAAGAAGATGTACACCAGCAAAGACAATGACAAGGCTCTCCTTCTTCGCCCAACAATCTCCTCCTCCTTATCTCCCCCTTCTCTTATTCATACAAGAAATAATAATACAACGTTGAATGACTGGTCCAGAATCATGTCCGAGTCCCTCTTCTACTGCAGGTATCACTCAAGGTCCACCATAGCCATGGCCGCCTCTCCCACTCTTCACTCTCGTAGGCCAAGGCTATGGCGGACTACTAGGCCTTGCTCAGATGTCCAAAGGACAACCCAGAACAGCTATGGCTGCCCCAGCTCAGGCCGCCATGCCCAGCCCTGCCTTGAAGCTTCTTGGTGCGACTCCCCCCGGCTGGGGACTCCTTGCTGCAGCGCCCACCAAGGTGATGAAGATGGCTGCCACCATAGCCAGGTAAGTACCCCTGGCGCTCCTCCCACTTCCTTCCTCCTTCCTTCTTCATCCCTCATGTCCTTCTCCTTCCTCCCCAGCAGCGCTACTCCAGCTTAGCGCTGCTCCAGCCAGCGCTCCACCAGTGTGTCGCCAAACTTGCACACCGAAAAAGAGGCCGGGTCTTCCACCCGGCCGGAAGATATAGCGGCCTGCTTTGCCTCTTGGGCGGTGACTTCCAGGCCGATGGCCTTCCCAAGCAACCAGTACCTCCTCCTCGTTTGGAGGGAACATCATTGCAGACTCTGATATTGCCCCTACAGGCCCTAGACTCAGACTGGTACCCGCTAGACCTAGCCTACACTACCGGCCTCCAAAAATGCCACTTTTGTCTTCTTCTGCTCGGCCTCCGGTACCTGCATATTTACCCCCCTGCCGGGTGTGGTACCGGCCTACCCGCTACTTGAGTGCTTTTTCTCCGCTGCAACCCTTCGAAGCCACGGCCACAGGTAAGTACCGGCCCTGAGGGCCCAATGAACGAACAAGTGCCCTGGCGGGCCACACACACACTCATACCAACCAGCACTCAGACAGGCACAGTCACACACACGCTGTCGGGCGGCTCAAGCCTTATGCCGCCCTTTACTACCTTTACAAGGGCACGCGATAAAGACACTATTTAATAGTTTTTACCTGACAGAAACTCGGCGGGTCATGGGGAAATACGCCAACGGATCGACGGCGCGAGCGGCAGGGCCACGACACTCAGTCTGGGTGGGGCACGAGCATTAAAAGCCGATACTTTTGTGAAGTGGGCGCGGACGTAAGCCGCCGACGAACATAAAGAGACTACCACAGCGGAGGAGGTTCCCGAGGGTTCGGGACGAAAGGCACAACCGCCGGGGACCAGGGTTGCTCTAAAGGTCGGCATAAAGCCGGGGGAAAAGGGGCGCCGGGCCCTTAACGCAAGGCTTCGGGCATCTCGACCAGTGGCAACCTCCGAAGTTACCGCGAGCGACCGAATTATGGAAACACCCTGCATAGATGGAAGGTGGGAACCGGCTTTTTGGGCGGGCCTCGGTGCGACCGAAAGGAGGCTCACGGCTAAGGCCCAGGAATGGACCCGTCAGCCTAGGATTTCGAAGGGGGCCCTACGGGGTTATTTACCGAGGCCATTACCACTTGTGGGTGGGGACCACTTATTAGGCCGGGCTTAGGTTTGGAAGGAGCTTCGGTACCGAGGCGCTGCAAAAAGCCCGGTACCCGACAAAAAGGCTCCCTTCGTTGGAAACCTTTCGGAGGCCCAAACGGGCCCGGGTACAGGCTCGGGGGAGGCTTGGTACCGGGGCGCTGCAACATTCCCGGAGCCTCGACACACCGAGGCACTGAAGCCACGCCGCGTTGGGCCCAGCGAAGTATAAAGGCCCAACCGGGCCGGAAGGAAGGGGGATGATTGTCACTTGCGCACGGGACGGGGCTCCACGCACTGGAGATCCAGCTGGCGCACGATGCACGGGCGGACAGCGAAACAAGCACGAACTGGGACTGAGCGGAAGCCACCTCGAGGAACGCAGGCAGAGCCGGGGGTGGCAACACCAGCCCGCATGAGGCAGGGAGTGCTCCTGGCCACGAGAGTGACCAGGTTCATCCGCTACGGTACTGCCGAGTATGCCGGGAGAACTAAACTGGAGAGGGGGTGAGTGTGTGAGAGGGAGAGTGATACGCACCTGGTGCTTGAGGCGAACGACACTGGCCGGGATCCGCTCGTACTTCGAGAAGCTGTTGACGCCACCAGGTTGTGAGTGAGACGAGAGACATACCTGGCGCCTGGGGCGAACGGCATTGGCGGAGATCTGCTCGTACCTCGTGAAGCTGTTGACGTCACCAGTCGTATTGTAGGTAGTAGGCTAGACAGGATCTGCCACCTGTAGTCAGGGCGTCGAGCGACGGATAGGATATCACCATTGGTTCCTTGTTGATGATGATGGGACTATGCCAGCACAGCTGCGCACGGGCGGGAAGCTATGTGCGAATCAATCCGGGCAGCGTACGGAGGGATAGGAGAGAGCACGAGCGCAGCTGTCACTGAGCGCAAAAACGCGCTTGTCTGAATCCAGGGAAGCGTCCACATTCGCACCAGTAGAGGTGCATGGATGTAGCCCTCACCGCGGTCCAGGTTCGTGCACATCGTTCGAATGTGTGTGCGCTACCCAGGAAGTGAGAACAAGCGCGCGCGCAAGAGAGAGAGAGAGAGATAGATAGATAGA